AAGGTATACAATGATATAATGAATGACTGCATATCACCCAGGTACAATAGTAATATCTAGCCAATCTTAAGCATTCTGGTGATCTCTCCTCCCTCTCCTTCCCCTTCCCCTCCATCTTCCTCTCCCATTCCCCACTCTGTAATTATAACTACATTTACTAGAAGTGTGTGAAAATACTATGGGAGCCCAGGGAAGAAAGTGACTAGTTGATTCACAGTAGAGACTATCAGAAAAAGCTACAGAAAGGAGAATGCAACATCATCAGAGGCTTGTAGTCAAGTAGAGAATAGAACAAGAGAACAGGCCTAGTGGGACAACTAACGTATAAAGGACTTGCCATGTGCAGAGCACATTCTGGTAAACCCAGTGCTCTGGGAGGCTAAGGCAGGATCACAGGTTCCAGCCTGAGACCATGTTTCAAAATAAAAAATTTTAAAAACAAGGGCCAGTCATGTACACTTCACTGTGAAGGCCCTAGATTGAATCCCTAGTGTACACACACACACACACACACACACACACACACACACACACACACACAGCCTTTAAAAGCATGGAATATCCTAAGAATGAGAAGTATTTTGCTGTGGCTTTAGTGTAGAGTATATCAGGGACAAGTGTTCAGTAGGTCAATATATACAGGTGGTTTGATACCAAATCATGAATGGGGATCTATACCATGCTAATAAGTTTGAAGCTATCATAAGTAAGTGGTTAGGTTTGAGTTTTAGAAAGAAAAGACTAATGATTGAGTTTCAAATTTGAGTATTGGGTAGAGAGGGAAGGCATTAAACTGTCCATAGTCCAAGTCACAGAAGGGAGGGCAGGTGAATGGGGGAAAAATATAAGATACATCATGTGAAGTTACAAGATCCCAATGATGAATGAAACTATATGGTATACCTAAAATGTACCAATAAACTTAATGGGAAAAAATTCTTACAACAGCATTTGTTTCCTCTTCTTATTTTTGGTAGATGGTCTTAATTTTCATTCTTCATATGGAAATACCTCATAGATGTATTCTTCTGTAGTCTGGCTCATTTATTTTAATTTAAGGATTGATATCTTTAATTATACTGCATTCATAAAACAAAATATCTGCAGTTGAAATCCTTTGTGAATTGTACATTTAACTTACTGTAGTTTTTCTTTTTGCTGATGATTTGGATTTTGTAATATTAAAGCTTATTTTGTAAGACTGACTAGCCCTTAACATCACTAAAAGGATATGTTGCCTAATCTAATTTTAATTAATTATGCAATATAGAAATATGTTGCAATTTGAGAGTATTATGTGAAGTCTTCCGTAAGTGGAGATTAACTGGGGATACCTTCTCAAACCTATAAGAATGTGTAGGAGTAACTAAATGATGAAAATATGCTATTATCTGAAATATTTCTGATGGAAATGCAGGGTAGACTTTAAATTGCAGCTATAATTGGATTGTGGTATCAAAGTCTCTTTGTAAGGATAGTTACATATATGAGTAACCCTCCAAGCTTTGTCATACAGATGTCTCTGTAGCTTCCTCTGAATATATTTCTTTTATTTCCTTCCTGGCTTTACCTATATAAATCACATATTGCTTTGTCATTAATTTGCTTAGTTTCATATTTATTCCATTTAATAAACATCTCCTGAGTGCTTGTGGTAATGAGTGAGCATGGTGTGGTAGGGAAATACACTCTGGCCAGGGTTTTCAGACAATCCTGGACCTGTTGCTTGAAGAACAAGTAAGAATTTCCCCTGTGTGAAAAGGCCGTAAGGAATAGAATGACAAAGAGAGCAGCTGTACAGTTCTGACATTTGACAGAGTTCAGTGTTGCTCTGGTGTGATAAAGTAGGAGGTAGAAAGTGAAGCTGAAGAAATAAGCTTGGGCCAGACCACAGAGGAGTTTGTATGTCATACATGGACATTGATTTTGTGAGTCAACTTTGGCTATATTCTGTGAGTGGTAAGTTGCCATTGAAGGGTTTGGCATGTGGTAGTGCTTGATATGCAAAATTGTTAGTTTAAACCAATCATTTTGGCAGTATTGTAGTAAATAAATTCATGGTGGGATAAGAGTAGTGGTACACAGATGAGTTAGACTACTGATTTGGTCATACTGGGAGACAGTAACCTGTTTTAGATACTGTTAATAAGGAGTAAGTTGGACATGTAGATTTGGAGAGTGCCAAAGTAGAAAGCAATACAACTTGAAGATAATTGGCAAATGTGGGATGATCACCAGACTTCTGACTTTAGTGGTTAAGTGACTGTGGTGCTGCTTATTGATAAGAATGAATTTTAGGAAAATTGAGCAGCTTAGGATTGAAGAAACTGAGGCTTTGCCTTCAGGCAGAAACGTCTAGCAAACAAGTAGACACAGAATTCTGAGGCTGGCAGGAAGGGCCAGGATTGGGAGGATTCACTTGAAAGTCCTCCCAGTCCTTGTGGAAGTGCAGACATGGGGTAAAACCGTGAACCCAAAAAGGAAAGAGAAAAAGAGAAATGTGAGAAATTGAGAAGGAAAAAGTCTGGTGTCTGATTATTCTTAAAAGGAAAAAACTTTCTCCTTTTGGTCTGTTCAGTAACACCTTGAATAGTATGATATTGTGTGGTATTAAGTGAGAGTAAGTATTTAATTTTGCCATCTGTTTTGTTTAGCTAGAAAACATCCCATTTACTTTGGGACTTTTTTCAATTTTATTTAATTCTATGACTTGGCAAGAACTTTTAAATTCATATAATTTCTTGAACATTTGCTATGTACTAGGTACTATGTTACTTTTTTATGTTTTCTTGTTTTATCCTTAAAATAATTCTACAAGGTTAGGTTTTATTCTTTCCATTTTGTGTTTGAAAACCTATGGATAAGAAAGATTAAGTGACTTGATCACTTTTTTCACACATCTCTATAACTCCAAAAATAGTTCTCATAACCACTGATAATCTATTATTTACTTAAACCAAAAGGGTGAATGAGAGGAGAAACCATTTTAAATTTTCTTTTTCTTGTTCCATTGGAAAAATTATTCTGATCTAGAGTCACTGGTTTATACTAACTTCTGCATATTCCTATGTAAAATGGTACCTCAAATATGAACTTAATTCTTTGTACGATTATGTCTTTTTTTCTTTTTATTGAGTTTATTGTACAATCTAGGTGTACAGTACAGTTACAGTCATTATTGGGATCCTGTACCTTTATATGATAGGTCTTGATTCTCATTTTTTCCCCTTGTCCCTGCCCTCCCTTCACCCCCCCTTTTCTCCCCATTTACAAACACTTTATTTCCATTTTTTCAATTTCTCATATTTTCCCCCTCCCTTATTACCTTTCCTCCACCCTTCCCACTTTCCCTACACCTTTAGCCCTTTTCTTCCTATTTCACATTATTAATTATCTCATTAGGATCTTGTGTACTATTATAGTTATTCACACCAGAGAAACTATTCGGTATTTCAGTTAAAGAAATCTCTGTATGAACATTAAAAATAGGGAATCCTAAAGTAAAACTAAAAAAGAAAGTAAAAGATAAAAAGCAATGATGTAAGATTAAAATAATCCTTAATCCTGAAGATGAAAATGGTCCCTGAATATATTTAAATGTTCTCTTGTAGTCTTATATTATTCTTTTTTTCATTATTTAGAGAATACTTTATTAGTTTCTATAATCAAATCCATGTAGATATGGCCTTACATATTTAATACAGTGCATTACCCCTGTAGAAATAGAAACAAATTAACATTTCTAGACCAATATGGCTGTTAATTTCTGTACAATGCCAACTCAACACAGTAAATTGGGATAACTTTTTCCAAAGTTGACAGCACAGTTAAAGTTTCCAAAAATTCAAATTATATATATGTATATATATATATATTTATATTTATATAAAAAGAACAATAATAGCAGTATGTTATGTATCAATAGCAGTATGTTATGTATCAATAGCAGCAACAGCTTTTCCATGTTCTGCAGTCATCTGAACAAAATTATAGACATTCAGCACATTCCATTAAAAAACAAAAACAAAAAAACAAAGAAAAGAATAATACCCAGAAAACAGCAAAGTTCTGTTGCTGTTGTGGTACCTGGCACCATTTTTTTTTTTATTAGCATCTTAATCATCATCTGGAAAGAGAACATTCTAGAGTAATATCATTAAAAATAGCTCTGATAAAGCACGGTCACTACTACGTATCATAAAGCAGCAGGTACAAGATATTTTACATTCTTTGTACAGTTATGTTTATAAACAGAATTGGATGAGAAACAAATCAGATTCAACGATTAGGTTCAATGTTGACCTTATGGGGAAATTTCATTCACTTCTCTTACTGGTTGGGTACTTCTCTGTCCTTAAATGCTATGAGGACTTCTTTTTATCTTTCTCAGTCACTATTCTTTATTTGTTTTTCATCAGAAGTTTGCATTCCATGATTCTTAAATTCCTTTAGGGTCTAAAATCCTTTAGGTTCATATATTTTTAAAAATTCAAGAACAGAGATCAACAGGTTTTAGAGATCCAAGGGTACAAATCTGGTTTCATGACTCACCTAAAATTATAGGCAAAATATGCATGTCTGTGCATTTTTTGGAAATGCAATTCACAGATTTTTTTTTCAGATTTCCATAGTTTTGCATAACTCACCACTTGCCTTCTATCCCCCATATTAAGAAACTGTAGCTCCAGAAGCATCTTTACATAATGTAATTAACTATAGTACTTCATGCAATCCTTGGGTAGTTGTCATCTTTTACAGAGGTGTTACTATTCTTTATTTTTAAGTAAGGGAAAATGTATTTATATTAAAGGAAGTGGTTATTTTTTGATTTTTAAATCTATAATGTTTTCTGTTCTATTAATTGACTAAAACACCTCTTGGTTATCAAATAGAATAAAAGTTTGATTTTGCCTCATGGTGAATTAAAGAATGCTCAGTTTTAAAGAGTGATTCAAATGACCTTCACTAATACATATTCCTTACTTGGCATCTTCTTTTAGGAAAAGAATATTTGGGGTCCATTTGTAAAGAAAGAAAAGGAAGCAAGGACAGAATGCCTAAAGTTGGAGCCAATTAAACTAGGTTTGTTCTTTTCTTTCCTTAATGTAATATGTGTCTTAGTAATCTTAAATCCTTTTTAATCTTACTTTGTTCCAGCAGCAAATCTTCTCATTTTAAACCTTGCCAAAGTCATTTGGAGGAGACAAAGATAAAGAAGACATGCCCTTTTCAAAGTATTTGCGCCCTAATTGTGAATATGAAAGACAAATGATAAAAAGCTAGATAATATTCTCATTAAGGTGAGAAGCTTAGTAAAGTTTGGTAAATCGCTGAATGTCAAGTTCCAAAACAATCAAGCTGGGATTCAAACTGAGATCTGTTGACTGCAAACCATGTTGTCTTTTATTACATAACAGTGCCTCTCATTTTATTTAGTATAGTTTGTTAACTCACCATTTATAACTTCTGCTGGTAACTAAAGTTGAGGACCAGAACCTATACTTATATATTTAACTTAAGGAAACTTTGAGGAAGTAAACAAAAGGGAAAGCATTCTATATTTTCCTAAAGTATAGATTAGAGAAAGGAACTAATTCATCCAAGTATCTACTATTTTAAGGCTTTGAGGTGAGAGCTAATTCATTTAATTCATAATAGCCAGATGACAAAGTTGGTATTATCCTTTCTCTTTAAAACAGAAAACTAAATAAGTTGTTCAAGATCACATAGCCAGTTAGTAACAAAAGCAGAATCAAAACTCTTTATTAGGAAAGATTAAATAGAGTTTAACTCATGCCCATTGACTTAACATTTAACATCATACAAAGTGATCAAAAAGCTGGACAGTTCAGTCTGAGTACCTGCAGCTGTTAGTGTCATTTATAAATACTTTTAATTTGGCTATTAGTTGTTTCATCATCTCACCAAAATAATATTTACATCTCCTTAATACACTTTTAATTGTAACAAGTTGTAAAAGTAATTGTTTAAATGCCATAATTCTATTTGAATAGAGATTTTAAATTCACAGAATAGTGATTATGACAGACATAGTACAGTGATAGGTAGGACTTTGAGGTGATAGTCAGGGAAGAGTGCTGTCAGCTCCCACCTTTCCACTGATGTGGATGTCATACAAGTCTTACCTTGCTTGCATGCTCATTTTGTAGCATGAGGATAGGTTAAGTGTTTTCTGTCTCATAAGGAGCAGAAGTTATAAAATTATCCTATCAGATTTTTAAATGTGCTTCAAATATAAATATCAAAAAAATTTTGGAAATGCAAAGTCTTCAGAGATTGAATCCTTTCATGTGCCAGATAAGGAAACTGAGTCCCTCACATTTGCTTTTTTGTTTGTTTGTTTTTTGTTTTTGTTTGTTTTGTTTTTGTACCAGGGATTGAACTAGGGACTTTGCATTTGCGAAGCAGGCGCAGAATCTCTGAGCTAAATCCTTGGCCCAGAGTCCCTCACATTTGTATAGAACTCTACACATACTTGTTTGTTTGTTTTATTTTAATAGCACAACACTTATTGGTGCATTTTAGGCATACATAATGATAATACTTCGTGATAGGGAACGTGCACATGTACCTGGTAATTCCTATCTCTTTTCCCCATGCTCTTCCCTTAAGCCCCTTCCCCTTCCTCTGTACAAAAGCTTTGTTTCCATTTTTTTCCATTTTCAATTTTTTTCTTGTCCCTTCCTTCCTCCCTCCTCCCTTGTTCCCTTTCCCATTTGAACATTTTCTTCTCATTTCCAAATATCTCTTATACAGGTTAGTCCTTATTTCCGCTTTGTTTCTCAACACCAGAGAAACAATGTAGCATTTAGACATGTGTATTCAGTTTATTTCACTTAAGAGTATGGTCTCAAGCTCCATCCGTTTAGCTATAAATGTCTGAAGCTCATCCTTCTTTATAGCAGAGCACTCTACACATTTCAAGGCTCTTTCACATCTGCTCATCTCCTGCAAGCCTTATCTCATGCTGATGGTGTCTTAGTTACTTTTTCCTTGCTGCTGAAACAAAATACCCAACATCCAAAGTTAAATAGAGAAAGATTAATTTGGCTCACTGTAGTGGTTTCAGTCCATAATCCACTGGCTCCAAGACAGGGTGGCATGGCAGACGGCAGCAGTTCATGGCGAACTGAAGGTAGCAAAAACAACAAGGGACCTTAACAGAATCTGCCTGCCCCTTTTATCCAAACTATTTAGGGTGGGTGGCACTCAAACCCTTAATCCTAATGCCCTTGAGTTTAAAATTATACCATGAATCAATCACACACTCTAAATTCAGCAACCTCTGAAAAAGTTCCACCTACGACTACATGAGACTTTGGGTGGACATCTAGACCCAAACCGTAACAGAAGGGTTAAATGTTATTTATCATCTTAGTTATACATGACTAAATTGAACTGGCTCAGGGTCACATAGCTGGGGCTCAGTTAGGTGACTGACTCTCAACTGAAAGTTTACCATGTTTTCTTGCTTTGATGGGACTAATTACACTTTGTGATGAAGTATGTGAGATGTCAATGATTTATATACATATAAAAGAAATAACATTTTCCTATGATGAAAATAGCAGTGACTACAGTTGTGTAAATGGCAGAAACAAAGAGGTAAGAAAGTGGCAAAAACTAGGGTTCTTGCATTCATTTAATTTTTATTTTTATTTATTACTAGATTTGGAATAAGGCTAATTATTGCTATCCTTGTGTTTATCAATAATGTAATACTTGGGTTTCTTTTTCCTTACCAAGTAATTCAAGAAGACCATACTTTATATGAAATATTTATAAACTATACTTAAGCTAAGGAGAACTTAAAAGGATACTTCAAAAGGATACCCTGAAAACAAAGGAATCATAAGTGTGAGAGACTCAGAATGAATTCGTGGCCTTTATTGATGTGAGTTTTCCTGAAACAGTGCACCTACCATTCACTTATAAACTTGATTGGTTCCCGAGGGCTGGTTGTAACTCAGATTGGTTGTAAGTTAGTACAGCTGAGATCTGGATGTTTACCTGGGTGCACACTACAGATAACAAGAGGTAGATGAATCTTCCATTAACCTAATTAACCTAAGTTCATATGTCAGGCCATTCATAACTTGAGGGTCCACTGTATTTGCACTGTGTAGTTGTGGAGGTACTGCTTGGAAATATTGCCCATCTCCATGCCGCTGGTCTTGCTGTGTGGAACAACAAATTGTTTTACTTTGATAACTTTTTATAAGTAATATATAGTTTTTAATTAGAAAGAGAATTATCCTAAACTTGTATGTGAACATTAGCAGTCTTTCTTTTACTACTTTGGTCCCCAAATTATTCTTTCTTTAAAAATAATTGATTTTCTACAGTAAGTATAGGATGGATAGTGTTTTCTCTGCAAATAAGAAAATTAAATCATTGACAGAATGTCTAATTTTTTGTATTAAAAACTTTTAAAGATGATGATGAATACATCTCTTGATAAATGAAGGAAGGTTCTCTCAGATGGTTCTAATCAAATAATGAAGAATGGAATTGATATAGAACAAAATTTAAAAAACATAAAATTTAACTTAAGAAAAATGCATTATGTCCTTTCTGAAGTCTACTTTTTCTTAAGATTTCTTTTTAAGAGTCTCTTGCCCAGCTATTAATGTTCTTTCAACATGGCCTACTACACAGAGCCCAGCCCCGCAAAGCCCAGCCTGTCAGGCTACTCCCTTTCTCACACCATGACAGATGGCAGAATTCAGGGAAATGACATTTGATGCAGACCTCAAAAGAGCTGTTTTTCTTTCTCTTCTTCTTTTTATCCATTCTTGTTTATTCTTGTGCATATTAGTAATGCAGGATAGAGAGATTCATTTTTGGGAAATGGCTAAATGCATATGATATCTTGAACCAGGCATGGTGGCACATGCCTGTAATACCAGCACTTGGGAGGCTGAAGTAGGAGGATCACTGCAACTTTGAGGCCAACCTCAGCTTCATACCAAGTTCAGGGCCAGCCTGCACTACAAAGCAAGACCTTATCTCAAAAAAAAAGTTGTATTAACATATCTTGATCATTTTCAATTCCATTACTCCATTTTCCTACCTCTCCCTTCCCATTTCCAAAACTCTACCTTCTAGTTTCTGTCCTTTCCTTTATTTTATTTTATTATTTAGTTTCTCATGTAAGAGAAAACATGTAAGTTTACCTAAGTCTGAGTTATTTTGCTTAACATGATAGTCTATAATTCTACCTACTTCCTGCAAATGACATAACTTAACTCTTCTTATAGCTAAATAATATTTTATTGTGTATATACACCACATTTTCTTTATCCATTCATCTCTTGATGGGAACCTAGGCTGTTTCTATAGCTTAGCTGTGGTGAATTGTGCTGCTGTAAATTGGTGCACTATATCTGCTGTGCAGTTATAACTATTGTATGCTGTCTTCATTTATTTTCAGAATATATCCAGGCGTAGTATAGCTGGATCAAGTGATATTTCTAGTTGTAGTTTTTTTGAGACTCCCCATGATGATTTCCATGTGGTTGTACTAGTTGAGACTCCCACCATCAAGGTAGAAGAGTTTCTTTCCCTTGCCAACATTCTTTTTTTTTTTTTCTTGATGTTTTGAGATCTTGCTATGTAGTTCAGGCTAACCTTGAACTCAATATGTAGCCAGGCTGGACTCAAACTTGCAGTGATCCTCCTGCCTCAGCCTCCCAAGTGCAGGGATTACAGGCATGTACCACTATTCCTGTCTTGTTTTTGTATTCTTAATGATTCTGACTGGGGTGAGATGGAATTCTAGTTTTAACTTGCATTTCCCTTATGGCTGAAGATGTTAAATGTTTTCAAATATACTTGTTGACCATTTGTACTTCTTCTAAGAAGTGTCTATTCTATTCATTTGCCAAGTGTTTGATTGGGTTAATTAAGTTCTTTATATATTCTATATATTAATCATCTATCAAAATAATACCTCATAAAAGTAGTTCCCCATTCTGTAGGTTGTCCTTCACAGTTTCCTTTGCTGTACAAAAGTTTTTAATTTTAGTGTAATCTAACTTGTTGATTCTTGATATTATTTC